TGAAGGAAAAGAATGCGCATAAATACAAGCTAAAGAAAAATGTGGAAAGAGAAAAAATAATTCATGTTTCAGATATGGAAGGTTGCATCTCGGAAATGACTGTCCCTTTATGAATTCAAAGTGTTACAAGTGTGGAAAAGTAAAACATCAAAAGTCATACCGTAATACTAAAACAAGAATAAGATTTCACAGAAAAAATCGTAGACAGCGTTACGACTGAGAAATAATTATAGAAAACCAAAGAAAATTTGCGTATGTGAAAATTAATAATATGGATGTAAAAATACAACTAGACACTATTAGTGATGTCACAATAATCAACGAAGCCACATGGAAAGCAAACGGAAAACCTATATTAAAAAAGAACTTAGATAATCACACCTGGCGTGTCAGGTACGAAATTTTTTTAATTGGTAAAATGACTTGTAACATTTCATTTCGTCAGAAGTGTATCAAAGCTAAGGTTTATGTATTAAAAATACTACAGACTTATTCGGTACTGACTGGATGAAATTATTTGAGTTGTGGGATTTGCCTATAAATATTTATTGCAAAATGTAAGTGGACAAAAAAAAAAATAAATAAAAATAAAAAACAGTCTGAAAATTTAAAGGAAGAATTGAAAAAATATTTTCCGGGTATTCTGTCGGATGAGTTGGGTCGGTGAAATTTCAAAGCGAAATTTCAAGTGAAAAATGGGTCGACACAAGTCTTTAAACGGAAACGTAGTGTATCATTTGCAGCACTGGATCAATTCAAAAAAGAATTAGACACTAGACAGACTTGAAAAAATAGGTGTAATTGAAAAGATTAACCATTCAAAATGGGTAGCATCAGTAGTGGATGTAAAGAAAAAAAATAGAATTCGTGTCTGTGGTGATTTTTTAACAGGGTTTAGAACCCAAATAACTACCCATTACCAAGTCCAGTGGATATTTTCGTGAATTTAAACGGTGAAAAGTTTTTTTGAATCTGGATCTTCCTGAAGCGTATTTGCAAATACAGGTTGAAGGAGACTATTCAGAGTTAATACTCACAAGGGATTGTATAATTTCAATTGACTTCCTTTTGGGGATAAAAGTGGCTCTAACTCTATTTCTACAAGCTATAGATACTATCCTTGCAAATTTTGATTTTGCAGTTGCTTATCTGGATTATATATTAATTAAAAGTGTATCTAGGGAACAACATATCGGACATGTGAAAAGAGTTTTTGAAAAACCAAAAAGAGGAGGGGGTAAATACTAAGAAATATAAAAAAAATATTTATTACTGAAAAAAAAATCTGAAAAGTGGGTATGTTTTAGAGTAAATAAGACACTTCAAGTAACACAAATGAACTAGGAAAGATGCCGGAAATAAAGAACTCAAAATGAGTCAGGAGATTTCTGTTGGAGTCAGTCAAAACATAATATTATAACCGCTAGGAAGAAGTTATAACAGTGCGACACTGAAATCCGAAAACGCATCGGGATGACTAAAGATGCATTCCAAAAACAAAGCACAGAATTAAGAAACAGAAAAACTTTCTTTAGAAACGAAAAAAGAGTATTGAATTGTTACGTAATATCTGTCCTATATGGCACTGAATGCTAGGCAGTCTTCTCAAAGATGAAGAAGAGACTTGAATCAGCAGAAATGTGGTTCTGCAAAACGATGCTGAGGATACCATAGACCGAACATTGTTTTAGAGAAAATGGAAACAAAAAGGAAATGTATACGTAACATCAGGATGAAGCAGTTGAAATTTCTGGGGAACGTAATGAGGAAGGAGGGCTTGGAAAATCTGATACTCACAGGGTTAGATTAAGGGAAAATGGAACAAAGGAAAGCAACGCATTACATTCTTGATGGGTTTGAGTAAATGGATGGTAGAACAGGGTTTGGGAGAAATGACAAAAAGACAAAACTTATTAAGAGCTAAAAAGATCAGGAAGATGTGGGGACCATGAATGCCGATGTCCTGAAGAAAGACGGAATATAAATGGAGGAGAATTTAGTTAGTGTTTAGATGGGTGACTTTTTAGCAACAAGTAGTGTAAACGGCTTGCAAGCGAGCCAGACCAAGTAAAGATTAGTGAACAGAATTGAAACGGCTTAGCAAAGTAAAATGATGGAGTAATTTGAGAATAAATTTCGGTGTGTCAAATTAATGGGTCGGGGAGTTGGACAGAACAGGTTTTGGGGGAGGGAGTTGGGATAGGAAATGTGTGTTGAGAAGTATGATTAAGGAAAAGTGAAATTTACTGATGGTTAAAGGTGCGGTCCGAAATCGGCAACGTAGTAAGATTACGACCGGAAGTATTCACTATTTACAGCTGTTGCGTCTGTCGACAGGTTCCGGTAAGATTGAGAAAACGGAGCCTTAAGAAGGAAATAAAAAATGTGTTAGGGGAGAGACGGATGGGGGAAATACCCATGAAACAAACAAACAAAATCACACCAGCAAAATAAATTTAAAAAAAAAAAACAAAAAAACTTATTTACCAGATTATCATTTGCAAACAAGTGGGTTAAATTTATCTGCCAAACACAGATGACCTCTTGTATACATCCGCAATCAACAATTTAGGATATTTTCTTTATTTCATTGGGTGCCTCACCGTGGAGCAGCGGTTTACATTCTAGTTTCGCAAACTCTTATTATACTACCACATCCCTATTGCTACTTTAGTTTTTATTAATGCTGATAAATTTTTTTTATAAGCTACGAATTCAAAATCTTGTGTCACGTTGAAACGAGTAAATATCTACAAGATATTCAGGAAAGATGCCTGCCATTGCAACAAGGTGTGCAAACTCGTTCAAGGACAGATTCATTCTTTGAATGATGTTACATTATTTGAGGTTCGTTAATTTAACGACATAACCACTTCTAGGTTCATTTAATGGCAACTGTAAGTCTCATAAATTAAACAAATTACAAGAGGCTCAGTTTAAACCAGAATAAAATAAAGTTAGACATAGTTCCGCTTTACACTATCACCAAAAAAGCAGATCAAATGGGTTAAAAAGTAGACAAAAATCCGGTTTACACTAGAGTTTAAAATGTAAGTATATATAGTTTTGTGTTAGAGTTAAAAAAAAATTATATATCTCCGTTTGACACAAGAGTCAAAAGCCTCTACATAGGCAGATTTTACACTAGAATAAAAAGGTAGATATATGTCGGGTTGGCGGTAGAGTCAAAACGTTATACATTGGTCCAGTTTTCATTAGAGTTAAAAACATAGACATATATCGGTTTTGCGCTAGTTAAAGAGTTAGAAATATGCCCAGTTTGAAATTGAGTTTAAAACGTAGTCATAGATTCAGTTTATAGTAAAGTGAAAAAGGTGGACAAAAATCTTGTTTTTACTAAAATCAAAAGGATTTACATTAGATTTTTAAAAACAGACATAAAATAGATTTAGTATATTTCCGGTTTATACTTGAATCTTAAAGGACGACATCAATCAGATTTACTCGTCAAAAATGTCAACATAGGTCATTTTTACACAAACTGTTGTAATTTTCTCGATCTTCCAGGTCAAAATTTCCCTCCTGATCTTAAAGAATCACTTACAACAGTACTCCCAGATATGGCACCATCTCCACAAACGGCACATATCTTTTTTTTTGCTATTTGTACAGTGTTTTGTTTTCCTTTCCGGAAATAAAAGAGCATCAAATGTCAAAAATGCACCTTGTTTTCCTCCATTTTTCATTTACGAAAAAAAAAAAAAAAAAAATTTCCAATTCACAATCCACACGTAAATCGTATAAAAAGACATGTTCAGATGTCACTTTTCCGAATACGGGTATAAGCCATCAATTAAGAAACCTCTAATCTTGCGACCAGAGGCCTTGCTGCCGGATGTAGTTTATTGTCATACCCAGGATATTCAGGTCATGAAAAATATAAGAATAGTCAGGAATATTTATGGGGAAAGCTGCCTGCATTCGAAAAGAACTAAACTGAGCAAGTACATAATTTTCAGAAACGTGGTACCACCTTTTAATTACTGTTGTTCCCATGGCTCGTGGTGGTAGCACCTGTTAGGGTCCCCAATTACCAACAGTTTTCTGTAGTTGAAGCCATATAATTTCGTTCAAAATATATTTAGTTAAAGCTATAAAATTATGTTCAAAATATCTAGGCTTCAGCATTGAATAACCCATAGAGATGTTGATATGCCGCTAATCAAAATCAACCAACCAACAATCCATATTTATAGAACAATTACCAACAATACAAATGAGCAAAAATAAATTTTATCTTTAATTAATGGCATAAGATTGTGTTAATATTTAGATTTCAGCATTAACTCGTACAAACTGAAATCAAAATCAACCAACCAACAAATTCTTCATGTTGAGCAACGGTCCTACATTACTACAGACAGAACGGTCTTCCAAATCCAAAACTCCATCGCAAAGCATACGAACCACCAAGCCTTCACAACGGTCATACACCATCGCCGTAAAAGAAGCCGTTGTTCAATAGATTCCTTTTCATCACGATAACGGTCACATTCTGGGGGGGGGGACCAGTCTCACGATGCACCAAACTCTACCGACACAGCTCGCATCGTATCAACAGCCAGGTGAGGGATACTTTGCTTTTATTAAGGCATGTGAACTAGGGTCATAGTAAGTGATATTTTGACAACGTCAGAACATGTATCTTGATTAAACCCTCTCGCATGACTGTCATCTGACGCCCGATATAATGCCTTTCACGAAAATGGCCAGGTGTCAAAAAGGTCAGTCTTTACCCGAGAGAGAGGAATCTCTGTGCATACCAATGTTCGCAATGGTATGATTACTCGTTTCAGGAAAACGATGGGCCTCCACGTCATCCTCACGCACGCTTCTGAAAGCTGCAAAGGCTTTCTTAGTACCTTCCATTCAGAATCAACCATTATCATCATTTTGGGTAAACATCAGGCCTAAGAGATTTAGCCGTATGATGTACTACAAACCTCGGGACACACCGTGAGAGCCCTGTAACCCCAAAGATGTCGAAACAAGACTCTCTCTATCACAACTATTTTGGTTCTTCTTCTTCTTCTTCTTCTTCTTCTTCTTCTTCTTCTTCTTCTTCTTCATTATTATCCGTGTTTCTTCAGGGCGTAGGCGATCATGGCTCTCCAAAACTTCTTGTCCCTTGTAACTCTTAATAATTTTTTTTCTTTCTGTTATCTCTCTCCCAAACCCTGTTCCGCCATCCATTTACTTATTTTATGTATTGTTTTCCTCTGTCTCTCTTGCCTTCAATCTGTCCTGTGAGTATCAGATTTTCCGAACCCTCCTTCCTCATTATGTGTCCCAAAAACCTCAATTGTCTCTTCCTGATGTATAGTATAAGTTTCTGTTTTGTTTCTATTTTTTTTCTAAAACTTCGTCCATCTTCGGTCCATAGTATCCTCGGCTTCCTTCTGTAGAACCACATTTCTGTTGCTTCAAGTCTCTTTATCATCTTTATGGAGATTGTCCAGCACTCATTGCCATACAAAAGGACAGATATGACAATGAATGCCTGTTTATATATAGATCTATAGTCAATGCCAGATTTTATAAACGTATAATTAATACAAGTTTTGTTTAAATCTTTTAAAATTAATTCAGATTCTATGGTTAATCGTTTAATTGCAAATTCCTCTAACCAATTCTTCTCCAGCTGGAGATCAAAAACCAGACCAGATGCTGAGTTTCTTGAATGGCTTGTCCGTCCAAGTAGACCAGGAGCCCAATCGCATTCCAAAAGAATTATCACAGTTAGTTTGATCACTTCTTCCGACACAAACGACTGGATTTCTTTTCCTCGGCATCGTTAGAGTACCTGGCAGTTGTGATAGTATCAGAGTAAGACAGAGAAAGAACGTACAGCAAATGCGAAATTGGACAACCTTAAAAACTGTACATTATTTACATTATTCGTGCCATGTTTAATGGGTGTCATCTCCTGTTAATTTCCCTCTGAAAGTTCTCCACTGCCTCAACTGGGTATTGAACTCACACTCTTTGGGTCCTGTCACTGGATCTAACTAACGCCTTTATCCACTGTGCCATGTGTCCTTGAGTAACTGATAACTGACATCCATTATACATGGCAAGTGGAACTAGAACAGTCTACCCCAGTGAGCGAAATAAAGGGTTCAGTTCGACATTCCAACCACCTGAAGAAGGCCGGAGCGTACAACGGCCGAAACGTTGTCATAAATATGGCGGCAAAGGTGAGGACAATAGTCCGAATAATGTAAATAATGTACATAATAGCTCATCTCAGAAATATAGACAGATACTTAAAAACTGTATATAGTTAATATGAAAAGCTTCGATCTTAACCTATTGCCTTCTATAATAGCTCTGGTAGTCGTATGCAAGTAGCGAATCTAGAGGCGAAAATACAACTTGAATCCGATTACCGATTGGTCGAATCTATCGAAGATCTTGGATTGGATTGATCTTAAACGATCAGCGGGACATCACGGTCGACTTTCTCGATGATTATTCATGCTAAATGCAGATTATCTTAGAGCGTCTTATTCTTCATAGAACGTCTATTTAAAGACTATCAAATGACCCAGCATAGATAGCAATCGGTTTGCCAAGACCTTGACCAAAATCCTAATATAGTTATTTAATTATCACTAATCTCATTGGCACCATGTTTAGTCTTACGTGACAACTTCCTTAAACTCCTAATGAAACGTTAAGAAATATACTCGTTTCAGTAAGTTGTTGATCAGCGCAGTTATGGAAACAAAATGAAATTTGAAACTCAAGTAAACTTCGTTCAGATGACCATCGATTCCAGTCTCCCCCCACCCGTCCTGTAGGTAGATACTCTTGGTGTTATTATATGTTTAGACAACTAGGCCTACAATAATTACTAATAAATACTAATAAAAAGAAATAAGTGTAGTGTGATAAGTATAGGGATGTTTGAGTATGCAAATGTAAGTGTATGTTGGGTTGCGGGTAGTTGAGTAGTGCTTGTTCTCGAGAGACGGGGTGGGCGTTGAATGGTTGCTGTGGGTCTCTTCTTAGTTTTTTGGGCCACGAAACAAAGTGGCTGACTGAACCCTCTTTTCATAAGCACTGCCCTCAGCATAGTTGCAATATAAATCACACTACAGGTAGACTATCTGGGTGTTGAATAAACACAAATATACAGGTGTCATATTCTGATAAATTTACCAAATGCCGTTTGATTTATATACAAGTTTTAACCCTTTGATCCCTGACCACCGCTTTACCGGCAGTAGAGAAAAATGACGTAATGCCCAGCCACGGTGGGTAAACACTTGAAACTATTTTTTAGATCTACCGTGAAACATTACAATACATAGCAATACTTTTGCGAATTTTGACTCAGGAGCTCAGGCAGAAGGGTTAACATTGTTCAGAAACGCAAGGCTCAAATGGTTAATGTGAAAATACTAACTTGCATAATTAAAACAGACAAATGTATTGGGTATTTGTATGTGACAATTATATGTGAGATGACGCTGACCGAAAGCATATTTTTATAATTATACGATTAGACACATTCAATGAGAAAGATTTGCAAAGAATTGAAGAGACGAAAGTAAAAAGCAATTCGTAAAAACAAGCGTCTCCAGAGGAAATGTTAATAAACAATAATTTTAAGCAAATTTACTTCTCCATCCTGTTTTTAATTAACCCACCTTTTTTCCCGTCACAAAATGGCTTGGTAGAATATCTGGGCAGGCTGTAAAGTTCGCTGAATTGACCTTTCATTGACCTGAAATCAGCAAAAGGAATGATATTTTCTTTTACTGAAATTTTGACGCGTGAGAACTTATTTCATATTATGAGCGGGATTTAAAAAAAAAAAAAAAAATTCGGCTCAGTTTTCTCATTGCTGCTTAAATACGCGCTTTTCTTGTCGGTTACTGATTTTTGCCCACCTTGGAATTTTTTCTTTTTTTTTTTCATTTCAGTTTTCTTCCTTTTTTTCTCCCTCTATCTTTTTATCTCTTTTTTTCATTATTTTTTTTTTTTATCTATTATCTATTTCTTTTTATTTTTATTTCTCTCGCCATCTATCTGTCTATCTATTACGCCTGTTCATATCTATCTATCTATCTATCTATCTATCTATCTATCTATCTATCTATCTATCTCATTTGTTCATTTCCTTATTTCTTTCTTTAATCTATTTTTTATTTTTGCTCCTTCACTCATTTTCTTTCTTCCAATACCTTTTCTGTCTTTCTTTTTTCTTACTGTAATTTATATTTTCATATAATTCTTTCCATTTTTTAAATCAATTTCTTAATTCTTTCAACTTCTTCCTTTTCTTTCTTTCCTTTTCTTCCTTTCAAGTTGCACCTTACTTACCGTAGTTTTTTCTTTCTTACTTTCTATCTGCTTTTAAGTTGTTTCTTTTTAACTTTACTTTTCTTACATTCATTATTTCTTTCTTTAATTTTTTTCTTGCTTTCAAGTAGTTTCTCCCTTTTCTTCCTTTCTTTCTCTCTTTACTTGTTTGTTTCTTTTTTCCACTCTTTTTCTCACTTCTTCTTCTTCTTCTTCAACCGTATTTTCTCTTTCCTTTCTCTTTCACACTATTATACCTCTTCCTCACTTCCTTTCCCATAATCCCAACACTTTCTCCTCTTCCCTTACAGTTCCGGTGGATTTAGCGCTGAAAGTCAGAAAAAAAATACCTGTTTAGTTTAAGAATTCTGAAATTATTCGGAAGCAGAAATTGGCATATGTTTTATGCTTCCGAATAATTAGTAAATTGTTTTTATAGTGGTGTTCATCCTGTACAAGGCCCGGGTGCCACTCTATGTAGAGTGTTTATGCGGATATTTGTGGGTTCACTGGAAGAAGCTGTTCGAGTGGAACTTACATCTCACACAGGGAATACAAATGGAATGAAGATGGTACGTTACAATGGGCGAAGCATGGTGGGTTCCTAGTCGTGAAGTTTATGACTGGAGGAACGACGAAATGTAGGCCGTCTGAGCACTTTAGCGATGGAACAGTGAGAGGCTGTAGAGTGGAAAAGAATTTGTCACCCACATGGACATGGAGATATTTTTGGTCTCTATCGAGATTGCAAAATGAATACCGAACAACTCCTGCCCCTATATAGCAGCAGTACTCCGTTTTAGGCCTAATCGGGGTCTGGTGAAGGTAGAGGATAGCAAGGGTAGTGAGGTACAAGGAACTGACTATTTTCCCAACATCTTTACCTATGGATCATATCTACGAGCTCCACTCGAGGTCTGCGTTGATTTTATGGCCCAAGAGGCGTTCAAGACACGGAGCCTCCCTGAGGGAACATCTGTTCATCGTGAGTGGTGATAGATCAGGGTCCAATTGGCAATGATGGAATTTCACTAGTTTAGTTTTAGAGGCATTGAATGTAACCAGCCAGTCCCCCTCCCCCACACTGAAATGTTAGGGCTGGGTCAGAGGAGAGATCAGCTGCTAAGTTCTGATCGTCTAGAGTTTGTTGGGTGCACTCATATACTGGTGTATCAGGATCGGAATTTACTTTTAGGCAGATCATTTATGCAAAGTAAAAAGAGGGTTAGTCCGAGTAGCGACCATTGATTGCTAGGGCCCCGGAGGACTGAACATTAACAACTACTTTTAGGAATCTACCTGTTAGGAAAATCTTAAAATACCAAATCTCTTTAAACGAAACTTTAATAAAAGGGAAACATGTTAGACTGGGATACATTTCCTACTTGTTTTTTATTTTATTTTATCACACACACACACACACACACACACACACACACACACACACACACACACACACACACACACACACACATATATATATATATATATATATATATATATATATATGGTTGTATATTTAGGCAGCAATCCTTCCTTTATGCATGTTTCATTAAAAACGGCAGACAAGGTACTATGGTTAAGCTTTTTATTTAATTTTTCTTGTGTTCGAACAAAAGCTTTCTTTTCTGGGCAAAGGGTTTGTAAAAACTGTCCAAATGTTTTATATTTCCGAGCGCTTTCGGCTATACCTTTAGCCATTATCAAGGATGATTCGATTTTTCAGCTTAATTGAGTGTGTGCGTTATGTGTATGTCTTAGTGTGTGGTAGGGATGTTTTAATTTCCGAATACGGTTAGCACATTGTGGCCTTGTTTGTAGTTAATATTAAGAGTTGTTTTTTTCTTTTTTATTATTAAAGCTTCCATTATTTTTAGTCTTTATTTGCAGATGGATGCAGTTAATATATTTGTCTTTTCTACTAGTATGTTTCTAATGGAGTCTGGTAAATCTGTGGGTGTGTTTAAATGGGTTCTAATGGAGCTGTGATCAGATAGGTGTAACGTAAGACGTCTGGATAAGCATGTAGTTGTGTAACCGATGTAATTATTTATGAATCCGGTTTGATCAGGAACACAGTTTCTTAAGGGGCATTTGAACTCATAGATAATGTTCGTTCTTTGTCATTTTGACCTAGCTGGTGTGTTGTTATTTTTGAGGATAAGGTTAGCTGTCTTAATTTTTTTTATATTAGATAATTAATTTGATTTTTTTATTCGGATCAGTAGGAGTAGTATATTTCTTTATAATATGCCATAGAGAAGATTTGTCTTGTTTGTTATTTGGTTTTTGTAACAAATGTGTATGCGATTTTTGGCTGTGTGTTCACTTTCGTTATTACTTGCTTTGGAGAGAAATATAAAACATTTGTTCTTACACACCCTTTGTCCAGAAAAGAAAGCTTTTGTTCGAACCAAAAAAAAATTAAATAAAAAGCTTAACCGTAGTACCTTGTCTGTCATTTTTAATGAAACATGCATATATATATATATATATATATATATATAAATATATTGTTCTACTGCAATTAAGCTATCCGAGGTTTTTCAAAACGAGTACCACATTTATATATATATATATATAATATATATATATATATATATACTGCAATTAAGACTAATTTTATTCAGGTTTTCTTTTATTCGTACAAGTATTTTCCTTTCTGGGTATAAAGTGTGGAAAAACGGTCCAAGTGTTCTATATATCCGAATGCTTCTGACTATTCCATTAGCCATTATCAAAGATACTTTTTAACCAAATATGTAGTTTTTTTTTTCATATATTTATCTGTAGCGGGGGAAATAATTTTTTTATTTTACAAACACGGTCAGTTTGTTTGGGGTGAAATGATTAAAGAAATATTTTCTGTGTAAAACGCAGGGAAAACTAAAGTTTCATAGGAATAAGGAAAGATGCCTTTCAGAAACTTAGTTTTTTGTTAAACAAATTGCTAATCCAATACAAGGCCCAAGAGACACTCAAGGTAGAGGGTTACTGAAGGAAGAGGTTGTATGAGTGGTAAGAGTAGTAGAAGTACAGTTTATGTAATGATTGACCCTCGACTTGAAGAGGTTAAGAGAGAAACGATCGGGTAAGTATCTTCTCAGGAGTCATTTTCACAAAGTAGACGTTCAGGAGATATGTTGTCCGAATGAAACTTCCTTCTAACCTCTTGAATACAAAAGTAATGCGAATGATTCGTCCCATTTTAAGTGGAGTGCTGGGTGCTTAGCTGTTGAATTAGTGGAAACGTACATGTCATTAGAAAAACAAAGAAAACATTTGTGAAGTCTTACATCATATCGAATTTCTTATATGCCAGTGAATGATTGACAAATTCCTCAGCGATGAAAAATAAACTTGATGCAACAGAGATGAGCTTCTACTAACAAACTCTGAGAATACCAAGTTAGGAAGGATTGGTTGATTGATTTTGTTTAGCGGCTTTTCAACACATCTGTGGGTTTTTTTCAGGCCGAAATCTAAATATTTTGAACACATTTTTATGGCTAAATATATTTTAAACGCAATTGTATGCAATACTAAATATATATATAGTGTATACCTTCAATTGCAGATAAAATTTATTTTTATTTATTTTGCTACAAATTGTATTGTTGGTCATTGTACTATAAATATGGATTGCTGGTTAGTTAGTTGGTTTGTTTAGTGGCATATCAACACTTCTATCGGTTATTTAATGCCGAAATCTAAATATTTTGAATAAAATTGTATGCCTTCAACTACAGAAAATGTATTGTTGCTAATTTTATATAAATATGTATTGCTGGTATTTGTACTATAAAAATGTATTTTTATACTATCACAGTGTTTTGTTTTTGTTTGGTGGGGGTCTTCACTATCTGTCCATACCTAGGACCCTAACATATGCTACCACCCCGAGTCAGGGTGTTCCCGGGAGCAACAGAAATTAAGAGGTGTTGCCACACTTCTCAAAACATCTCCCGATCAGATGCCTTGCTACCGGATAAAGTTTGTATTGTTGGTCATTTTAGTATAAATTTTTACTATAAATATGTATTCTTGGTAATTTAAAAAAAATGTATCGTTGGGATTTTTATGTATTTTTATATTCTCATAGTTTTGTTTTTGTTTGGGGTTCAATATTTGCCCACACCTTAACAAGTGCTACCACCCGGTATCAGGGTAGACCTTGGAACAACAGCAATTAAAATGTAGTTCCACGTTCCTGAAGCCGGATGTAGTTTATCGTCATACCCAGGACTGAACTCATATGGTATGTATTTCGGTGTTTCCCTCTTTTGTTTTTTCATTATGTCCAAAGAATGTTACATTTTCCAAACCCTCTTTTCTCATAATGTGTCTCGGAAATTGACTCGATATCGCTAAGCAGGACTGATTTTCCTTTTAATTCTGTTAGCTGACTACACGTGATATCATTCATTATTAAATAATCATTCTGATTGAAATAATGCGATATTTTATTCGGGTTCAACATAATATTTATTTAAGCGAACGAGATTTGATTAATTTTTAGGCGACTTTAATTTTCCACGCCAGTACTGACCACTGATTGCCATCAATTTTCCCTTTTTCTAACACGGGGAAATAAAGAATAAAAAAAAATGAAATATGTAAAATTGACTATGTTTATTTTTTTTCATACTTAATAAACACAAATTGTCAAAGTTTGTCGAAGTTTAAAAAAATATTTTTTTCGTTTTTATCTTTTCGCAAACTCAGTAAACGTTTCATATGTACCGACCTTCATTTTGAAAAGATGTCTAAGTCCAGCTTCTGAGGTGCAAAACTTTCAGCTACTACTTGGAATATACATATATTTTCTCCTTGCGAAAATCTACGAACACAAATCCATCTTATAAACTATTACTCACATCGCAAAAACAGAAAAACCCAGAATAATTACACGTAATTACTTACCCACCTAATGTTCGTAATATCCGCGGTATGCGCTATCAAAATAATATCCGCGGTATGTGCTATCAAAATAAAAACAAAATCCCGTTTTAATTATTAAGGTTATAAAAATGTCCATTATTAATTATAGTTTTATTCGTGAGCAACTCATTACTCCTTCTTGGCCTCACGTTTTCTACGGACAAGTAGTGGAGTGTATATTATTAAATCAATTGCGATGTCTGTTATTTGCTTTTCTTGAGTCGCCCCAGTCAATTTTTTTATCGTCAGTATGAATCTTGTATATTTATAAGTGTACCGTTCGTCCGTGCATTAAATATTGCTACCATATTTGGTCTCGTCCAAAAAAGAATCTGTAATGTTATTGGTTCTAACCCGGCATCTCGGTCACGTCACAGCATCTCGTCAGTTTTCCTTCTGCCGTGATGTGGCTTCCGCCTGTCTTTTCTATCAATATTATCATGGCAGTTTTTCTAATGAGCTCTCCTCCATTGTATCTTGACCTCATGTACTACTACACTGGCAACATGGTCTCATCGTTTTATTGTGGAAATAGTTAAACATAATCGCAAGTTCTATTCTAATAGTTTCTTTTCTCGCACTTTTCACTCCCGATCTCTTATTTCCCTGGTGTCTACAATCTTCTGTCTTTCTAAATTATGTTCTTTTATTGCCCTTTCTCCTCAATAAAGCCTTTTCATTCTCTTCCACTCCTTGTAACTTCTATTATCGTCTTGTTAGAGGTGAAAAGTTTTTAAAAAGACCTTAATGCCAATCATCCGACAAAATAGGAAGAAGGGTATGACAAGAAGCCGTTTTCTGATTGGTTTTTATATCAATAATTTGGCAAAATGATCCTAAGAGTCGAGAACAGTTGTCAGGATTTAGGATGGCACTATGATGATGACAGTCTTTGTAGGAGAACGGCAAGAAAACAGTGACATAAAGTAACAGCGAGAAGAATGGACTATTTACTGTCAGAAAATTTACAAATTGTGTCGTCAGAATCAAACAGATCTAGAAAATTAAGCACGTAGTCTATTAACCGACAAGAATATGACACCGAAATCTGAAGCAGCATTGAAATACTAAAATATAACATCCTGAAATTAACGATGTTTTTTTAAATCAATTTCACTCCAGACAAAGCGAAAATTGTTTTTTGTTGTTGATTTTTTATCATTCAACAATATCAACAACAGTTTTTTTTACTTTCCTTTATTACTAATTTGTTAATGACATTTATTAATTAATTTATTAATTTATTAATGATATTAATTAATTTATTTATTTATTAATTTATTAATGACATTTATTAGACATTAAATGACATCACAGTTAATTTTAATTCCATTCCTTTGGAGAATCAACTAAAAGTTTTTAAAATTCTGTATTAATTTGTAGCGGTTAAGTGATAATGATATTAAGTAAAAACTATATTCACTAGCCATAAATTTACTAATAATAAATGGAAAAGCTTCTTAAGATTCAGCAACCTGAACCATTTTAAAAAGAATATTGAATTTTGTGTGTGTGTGTGTGTGTGTGTGTGTGTGTGTGTGTGTGTGTGTGTGAGAGAGAGTGTGTGTATAAAAATGCTGATTTTTGTAAATACGGATGTCCCTACACGACATAATCAGAAAATAAGTGCGGTAACTATAGTAAAGTTAACATTTCTTGGTAAATTTCTAACATTTCCTCCACGAGCGAAATGAGAAGATGCCTTTGATTAAAAGAAAAAAAAATCAT